AGGGAAGGGAAGGGAAGGGAAGGGAAGGGAAGGGAAGGGAAGGGAAGGGAAGGGAAGGGAAGGGAAGGGAAGGGAAGGGAAGGGAAGGGAAGGGAAGGGAAGGGAAGGGCAGGGCATGAACTGCCAGGTGGAGGGTGGCCAGCACTGTGGAGTTTTCTCTCACTAGCTCTCTCCCATTCTTGTAGTACTTTCCTCCCCCTCTTCCTCCTCTTTTCTCTTTCTTTGGCTTTTCATGACAGGGTTTCACTGTGTAGCCCTGACTGTGCTGGAACTTTGTAGACCAGGCTGGCCTCAAGCTCACAGAGATCCATGCCTCTGCCTCCCCAGTGCTGGGATTAAAGGTGTGTGCAACTGCCACCGGCACTCTCTCCTTAATAAACTGTTTCCATTTCTAACCACATGCCCTTCATCTATTTCTTTGCTGTGGCATGCAAGAACCTGGGCACCTCTGCAGGTGGCCTGGGATCCAAACCTGTGCCTAAAATACTAAGACATCACCAACACCATTCCTAGTACGATGCCTGAGGGATGATATTACTTCCCCCCCAAAAAAAATCTACCTTTCTACCCCAGGCCGGCACCTTCAATGCAGCTCACAGGATCACCTCTGCATTTCTTCATTTTGCTTAGGTGGGCTTTGTTGAACTGGAGTTTGCAAAGTGATACTCTAACCAAGACAGATGACTAAATCAAAGTCACCGTTTAGAAATGCTGATCTCCAAAACTACAAGAAACAGGCCTACCAGAGCATTCCTCCCCATGGCTTGCACACTAAGAAAGATAATTAGATAGGTGAATGTTTTCAGGGCTTTCAAGGTCTCTGAAAAAACATCAAAGTGGAGGGAAGACCATAACTTAAAATATCATAAAGAGGACAGATACCCATTCAAGTCAAGTCCCTAAATCATCCTTTCTCCACCCACACTGCAGAATGGCATAGCCCAGCAGAATCAGTCACACCCAGTATCATACATCTGCCTCCATTTGCATGGTGGGAATTGCATGATGGGAAATATCAAGCACAGTGACTTGCCCGTCAGAACCGAACATCAGCCAACCAGGACAGCCCTTGCTTACATGGCAGAAATTACACTACCAAAAATTGTTCCCACTGTGCCTCATCCTTGTGGCTTATTGCCATAGGCAAGTGGTTCTCCTGCTACTTCACAGAGTAAAGAATAATGTTGGTGTCACACAATGGAACACGAACAAAAAGTAAGTACTTCTGTAGGGCAGTTATTTTTGCAAAAAGGGTGCCCAAGACCCAAGCCCGGCAAGCCAGGATGCGAGGCCAAGACTTTCTTTTATCCCAGATGTCGGGGGTGACTGTCTCATCCCACAGGTGGGAGCACTTCATTGTCTGACACAGTTGACTAATCAGTGCAAAGGGGAAGGGGAAGGTTCTGGAAATGAGTGCTTGCCAGGCTAAATGCATTTGATACAAAAACAAAACCATCTCTCACACTTCCATGGCCCTGCTCTGTGTGTGTGTGCTAACTAAACTGTTTTCTTTCTACTCTGGCCTAAAGATTGAATTCTTTCACCACCCGGATAACATCCCTGAGGACCATTTATTTCTTATTTGAACCAACAAAAACAACTCCTGTGCCTGCCCCGGCTGATGGCACATTCCTGAAATCGGGGGGATTTCCAGGGTGCCCAGAAAGTGAGTACTCATGAATACTGAGGAAGGAGCCCGGTAAACATCTTCTGCTCTCTTTCTGCTACTTAAGAGGCAAAGGTCAGGCCTTGGTGTTCCGTACATTCCCGTGGAAATGATCCTCACATCCTCTCTTCCACCTCCCAGGGAGGAACAGCCTGCTTCCTGCTTCATACTGGCCAGGTGCTACACTAGGAAAGATGCCTGCTCACTTAGAAACCCCAGAGGAGCAAGCCAGTCCTCAGTGGCTCCCCAGTGAGTAACCTGGAAGACCTTGTGTGGGGCCATTTTCTCTAAGACTATCCAGACCTTTGCTGTGCCCCCATCACCACCTGCCACTCTCTGATCAGATCAGGTCTTTCCTGGCCCCTCCCCACCTCTCCAGGCAGATATTTTTACTAGACTCTGTGTTTTATCTTTAACTTTGCTGATCCTTGGGTAACCGATTTCTATAAGAATTAGTTACTTTAAGCCGGGCGGTGGTGGCGCTCGCCTTTAATCCCAGCACTTGGGAGGCAGAGGCAGGCGGATCTCTGTGAGTTCGAGGCCAGCCTTGTCTACAAGAGCTAGTGCCAGGACAGGCTCCAAAACTACAGAGAAACCCTGTCTCAAAAAAA